CCCCCCCCCCCCCCCCCGCTCTTTGCAAGTCTTTTTTAAAGAAAACAACCCACAATATTCAATTTGTGAGAACTGGTGAGTACACACAGTTTGACCTCCCTTTGAAAAATCGTGGCTATGCCCGTGAACCCTGGGCAAATGTCATAGGAAAATTAACCAGTAGATATTTGGGAAATAAATACAGACATGGCAAGGGTATCAAGCACGTGATCACTTTTACCGTAGAATCGTGCATATATCCTTGAAAAATGAGAACAGTGACTTGCAGAAACATTGAATCACTTAGTGATAGGAAAATTAAATCGTAAATAGTTAGGAATTAAATGTATACATGGCAAGGCTATTAAGCCGGAGATCCCTTTTATACGATTTTAGTATAAAGTAGGTGGTTCAAAGTGTATTGTAATTTATTTTAAAATAGTTGTGAATTAGCTTAGTAGGTTTATAAAAGATGATCTACTGGAAGTAAAAATGTTAGAGATTTAGCCTGCGTCGTATGTTCTTTGAGATAAATGCTTGGATATGCTTTGATATTGATGTTGAATGGGGATGAAAAAGACAAATTCTTCCACATTCCACTGAGGCAAAGACCAAAACCAAGTATGGCTTGGTTTCGTGTTTGTGCGCACGGCGCTGTTTACATACGTCTATGTCGAGTTCTCATTCACTGTGCAGTTCGTTTTGTTGAACGCGATGAATGTGCGGCAATAGGTTTTTCTTTCGTGTTTATCCTTAAATGATTTCAAGTTTTTCAGTTTGCTTCTCTGGTTCAGTTTTGGACAGATCATTTTATTCTTTAAGAAGGGGTGGGCCGCGAGAATAAAAAGTAATACGATGTAATTCATACATGGTGACGGTTCACGAAGACAAAACTTGGACTAACGCATGCGTGACGGAGCACCGACGGTTATTTGGGGCTGATCACGAACAACCCCGAGTTTCTAACTCGGTCTTCCTACAGAGCGCCTGAGTGAAAACTTAAGGGGGAAAATAGAAAACAGCCAAAGGACTCGGAGAACTCGCATCGCAGATTGAATGTGGTTCCCATTTTTTTTTAGAGTTGGAGATTATCTACTATTAAAAATTATGCTCGAAACTTTTCACTACAGGTCAGGAATCTGAGATATAAAATTGAATTTGAATTGGAGTTTGGCGTGGTTGGAGTATTTTACCGATATTTTAACAACGGCTTTAATTTAAAAATGGGGATAAAAGAGTTCATGGAAATTTTGGGTTTTGTTCAGTCGTATCTCGAGGCCCTAATTTTAGATGCAAATTTTGTGTTTGTGGAGTACATCTTTTAATAATAATAAAAAAAAAAGACGGTGGGAACAAAGCGTGTCCTCGGGCAAAATTCAAAATTTGAAATATTGTTTGTCGGTTAAGGAAGAGAGTGTCACTCAATTTTAGGTACGGCTAAGATAATCAATCTGTCAAGTCTCTTAAAACTGTAAACCCACCACTAATTTACTTATATTATTCAGGTGTCGTACTTAAAACTTTCTCTTATACTAAAGAATTTCTCAATAAAGAATTAGCTCCGTAAAAAATTAAAAAAAAAATGAATGAATTAGGTAAAGAAAGTATCTCAGGCTATGTGATTAGTTAGCGCTAGTAATTTATTGGGATGTCAAAATGTGGCAGCTGTCCTCATATCGCCTAAAATACATGTCGATCTTTAAACAAACGTCGTTATAGCAACCTTTTGCAAAGTCATTTCAGCTGCTAATGTCTGCTTTAGTTGGCTTTTCTCGACTCACCTCGCTATCCAATCAATTATTGATAACAAACCACAGCAGGTCTGTATTCACCTAACTAATGTTTGGAACGTTGTTGTGGGAACGTAGTGATATTTTCAGTAATAGCCCGTTGCGAAATGGGAAGCTTGTAGAATATATTGTACTGAGAAAGTTTCCTTCTACTCCACTGATAATATCACACTCGACGTTATGGCTTGAACGTGGAAAATGTCCGATAGGCCGGTTTTATGCGCAGCCTGTGACGAACCCAGTCCCGGGCCAATAAGACGTTTATACTATCAGCCACGAAAACACGGGCCATTCTTTCCGATTCTGGAACAACAGAAAGTTGGGGTCAAAGCAAGTTTATTTTCCGGAGGACGAGTTGTCGTATGTACAGGCTGTGCCAGCCATTTGCAAAGACAGTGGATCGCATTCGAAAAAAAGTGGACTCCTTTGGAAAAACGAACCTACACACTCTTAGCAGGTAAATTCGATGTAATTAAAAGAGTCTGAATTTATCACTGGATGAGATAATTTTGACATCTTTGCAGTTTATCAGAGGTTAAGTTATGAAATATAGATGTATCGTCTGGAGTTATTAATCACCAAAATAAGCGTACGTTGACTAGAGCACGATAGTACAAACAGATGGTTGATACAGCTTTTCAGCTACCTATCAGTGACTCAGCAATGAATAATTATTTGTTATCTTAGCAAGTTATTCGCAAAGTTGCGTTGTAAAGTTGTAAAATTTGGGTTGCTCTACTGTAAAGGCAAAACTGTATCGTCTGTTCTCGATAGTTATCAATGTATGCTAGTCCTATACGCTAAAACTTCTAATAAAGGGGATATTGACGTTAAGACTTTAAAATGATTTTTTCAAGCGTTATTCGGGCCAAAAAGAATCATTATTTGCAACATGGTACTTGTCAGAACGCGTCAAATACTTACGTCACTCTTCAAAATACCATACCATATGGGTGCCGCTTATAACTGCAAAAAATCTTTCGATTGGATCGCCGCCACATCTGAGTACGAAAGACAACATCTATTCATTAGGATTTCCTTATCACGATATGATTAATTCGTGGGATACAGCCGTAATACAGGAAACGATTCAAAACATACTTTAAGAGTGATCAATCCTTTTTTTCAAACACGGAAACTCAATTGCAACTTGCTAGGCAACCGCACTTGTAAGGAACTCGCCAATACGAAAAAGTTAAAAAAAAAATTGATTTGCTCAAACGCTGTGTTAGAGAAATCTGTTATTGTGCGGTAGAATTTTTATAATTCCCAATACGTTTGGGCTTGACAGCTTTTTGCAATTGTAATGAGAGTTCATTTACTAGCATCATCTTGTTGAGAGGCATGAGTGTATGAATACATTTTCATTATGTAAAATATGTAAGCTGGAAAATATTTGGGTCTATTTTCTGTCTAGAGATAGGGATTTGGCCCGAGAACATTTTGATAATCTCAAAGGAAGCAGTTTTGATCTTTAGCGTCAGAAACCAGAAAAACAATTTGAATCATATATATAATATAAATGACAATTTATATAGCGCCCTATCCAAAAGCTCTAAGGTACTTTACAATCAAACCAGAAGACGTGATAACTTGACTTTTAATAACACTACACGTAATAAGTGTGTAAAAACATCGGACCAGACGCGGGCGGTAAAGAAAGGCGATGTTTCTCAGCAGGGGTTTAAGAATTTGCGGGGCATCCCCGCAGGCTTTGATGCGCAAACTAAAGCAAGCGCGCCATTAAAAAAGGGCTAGGCAAAATTTCGCGCTTGGGATCTTTTTGTGAACATCTGCATGCTCATCATAATAATAAATGGAGTATGGCCACTTAAGACATGCTTATTGAGTTTGGAGAGAAATTTGCTGGTGTCAAAAACATTTTTGAAAATTTGGGCAAAGGTGCGCATGCTCTTGGCTAGGTGTACGATGAACTATCGCAGGCTCCGCCAAATGATTACTCACATTGATTTCTAGAGCAATTTTCAATTGAGTGTCAAAGTGTCCGGGATTGCATAGGCTTTGCTCCACTTCGCTCTGTGATTGGTCCAGAAAACTCGCGCCACTCTCTAAACCAATCAGATGCAAACTAAAACTAATCATCACGACTTGGTCGCCCGCGTTTTCCCGTGCCTTCGGCAGTTTGTTTGTTTCCACTTTGAGTTCTCATTGGCTCTATGGGGTATTTTTCTTTCTTCTGATTGGTTGTTGTGAGTACTTTGGTTTTGGTTTAACGACATTCAATCGAAAAGCGCTTTTATCATGCATCAGTAATCGCTTTTTGATAATCAATTCGCAAAAAGATCATTTAATGTAAGTAAGTATATCACGATATTGGCATTTAGGGATAATTAAATCTCAGACTGACAACATTGAGTGGTGGTTTTCCTATTTGTGACATTTCAGCCAGCAGGGCGCCAAAGGGTGATGATTTCAGCGAAGCTAGCTCGCAGGACCACGCGACCAAACTTCAGTGGCGCAAAGCCGCCAAATCACTAACAGTTCAACATCAAATCGTGGATAGCTTCCAACACACGTCACATGACGATGATCCGAGCCCCGTCAGCAGATTCAGAATGGCGGCTCAGAACGTCCAACACGAGAGAGAGGCGAACCCAGCTGGTTCTAGTCTCCACGATGTGGTTCAAATGGCGCGCGACGCACATGCTGATTATGATACACCACCATCTGACAGAAACGCAGGAAACTTGCATCTTCCTGTTTTAGCGAGAAACTCTCCCGCAGAAAGACGCTTACCAGGGGGTACATCATCTGAATTTCAAGACCAGCTTCCTCAGAAATTACGCGAAAGCGCAGACATTTTGATACGAAAGGTGGCAGAAATTCAATACGAGGAAAATCTGCGACAGTCGCAAGAAACCATTCGTGAGGCGCTGGATCGAGTAAAAAAGTCACAAGACCGAGCGCAGTTTGTGAAGAGCCTGGGGCGCGATCTCAAAGAGCGACTTTACGGTGAACTTGAGTTCCGAGATGCCAACAGAAGTTTAACCGAGGAAAGACGAAAGAAAGCTGTTCAGGCGCTCAAAGACAACGATGACTCCAAACATAAGCAAATATTAAAAGAATTGGCCAAGGAGAAGGAATGGCAGCGAAAAACAGAAGTCATGATTGCAACTCAGGAAAAGAGAATCGAAGAACTTCGACAAGAGATAAAGATAGAAATGCGGAGCATTATGGAAGAACAAAACAGGCATTACGAGGAACTGAAGCAAATGATGATAGATTCCAGAGCAATAGTACCTCATAACGGCAGTGACCACGCGTACGTGAGTCTTGATGGATCAACGCATTCTGGATCTAATCTGGAGGATCTTATTCCGAGTAGAAAGAGAAGGCGTAACAGGGAACCCAGTACAACTTCTGCCCTAGAGGAGCATTCTCGTGCAAGCACGCCAGAATATTATATCCAGTAGATCAGACGTTTTGATAGACAATTTTGTAAATTATTCATACCTTTTTATTCCCAGACTACCCCCTCCTCCCACCTTCACTATTAATGTACAGTATATATTCCTGCCAAGGAAGAGACCCTATATGAATCACACACATTCTTCATGAAAACATTTCGGAGAAATTTAAATATAACAGAACAAAGCAATTCATCTGGAGGCGAGGTGGCAAGAACTATTATACGGCTCTTTCGCCAGAGAAGTAAAAATAATCGTTGTTAAATTTATCATAACGATTCATAAGCAAATCTTTGATTACCCTCGTAATAAAAAGCAGTCGAGAAAGTCTCAGAGGAAAATGTTCCCCCCAGCATACAACTTAAGATGAGGAGATAAGTCTACGATTGTTTCCTGATGAGAAACCTCTTCCGTATCAATGGGCATCACAACGCACTAAACGATCTTTGTGGTCAATCTTGGACATAGCTGGGGGTGGGGGAGCGGTTTAGTCCTTATACAAGAAAAAGGAACACCTAATCGTAAGTGACAAGTGGCATAATTCCAATCGAGTGTCATAAGTATTCTAGAAGTGCTGTAGTTTTACCACACGAAACCCTGTGGTTGGTCCAAAAGACTCGCGTTGCCCTCTTAACTAATCATTTGCAAAACTAAATCCAATCGGGATCTTGTCACCTGCTTTTATCCGCGCACAATCCCAATCGAATGACAAAAGTGTTCTGGGATTGCAGACGTTTTCCTGCACTACTCTCTGTGATTGGTCCAGAAAACTAGCTTCACCTACTCAACCAATCATTTTCAAAACTAAAAGCAATCGAGATTTTTGTCAATTGCTTTTATCCGCTCTTAACTCCAATCGAGTAATAAAAGTATTCTGGGATTGCAGACGTTTTGCTGCACTACTCTCTGTGATTGGTCTAGAAAACTGACGTCACCCCCTCGACCAATTGTTTGGAAAACTAAAACCAATCGATATTTTTGTCGCACGCCTTTTTCCCGCGTTTAAGGTTGTTTAGGAGTCTGCGCATCGCTTTGAGTTCTTACTGGTTGAATTGATATTTTCCTCTACTATATTTTGCCATTCTGATAACCTTGTTTTTCGGTTTCAAGGAAATTAGTGAATTAGCTCCTCGGGGTACTTTCCATTCTTCTGATCAGCCGTTGAGATTACTCTAGTTTTGGTCTTACGACACTCGGTCGGAGAACACTCTGTAAACTGCAGTGGGGAGGTACGTTGATGCAGAATGACGCAAAAACAACAAGCACGAAACGTTTGAAAAGTTTGCTCTTAATGTCACCAGACTGCGACCGATTTACTTCATTTTCTTCTAGCATGAAGGCCCTTAAAATTCACACGACTTCCTACTAAAGAAAACGCAAAAAAAAAAAAAAAGAGAAAAAAACCAGAATAATAGGGAATATTTCTATTTACAAACAAAGAAATGTGAGTTTACAATTTTTCTTCTAGATATCCAAGTCCATCATCCCCCTTTGCTTGTTTGGTTTTCCATTCAGGCAATATAACATTTAATCTTCTTTATATTATGGTTTCTCGACAAAATAAAATATAAACTCTTGTAATTGTAATAGAAATTCGTCCAGTCAAGACATTTGACATTTACGCTTATCCGAAAAGAAGTAAAGAGAGTGAAAAGTTTAAGTTCAAAGGAAGTTTCCCTAACCGAAAACGACTTCACCTCTTAAGAGTCATTCAGTAGAAGAAACGAAAGAAACATTTCAAATCAAACTAGAGCATAGAGCATTTCTTGAGCTCTTTGAGCAGATTTTCCTTCAATGTCTGATGCTCATCTACAATCTGATTGGTCAAAAACCACTTCCAAAATCAAGTCAACCAATCATGTGTCTGACCAAAAATCAGTTGCGAATTTTCTGCACATGGTGCAGATTACGTGAGTTCTGACTGGTTCATTGCCTTTTCCGAATTTATGATTTCCTGAGTCGACAATCGACTTAAAAACGCTCTGTTGGTAACCGGAGGATTTTTGACTCCACTATTTTGTTTCGATCTCAAAAAAAAAAAA